GAAGCAATTGTGAATGGAAGTTCATTCATGATTTGGTTCTCTGTTTGTCTGTTACTGGTATATAAGAATGCTTGTGATTTTTGCACATTAATTTTGTATCCTGATACTTTGCTGAAGTTGTTTATCAGCCTAAGGAGATTTTGGGCTGAGATGATGGGGTTTTCTAAATATACAATCATGTCATCTGCAAACATGGACAATTTGACTTCTTCTTTTCCTAACTGAATACCCCTTATTTCTTTCTCTTGCCTGATTGCTCTAGCCAGAACTTCCAACAATATGTTGAATAGGAGTGGTGAGAGAGGGCATCCCTGTCTTGTGCCAGTTTTCAAAGGGAATGCTTCCAGTTTTTGCCCATTCAGTATGATATTGGCTGTGGGCTTGTCATAAATAGCTCTTATTATTTTGAGATACATTCCATCAATATCGAATTTATTGAGAGTTTTTAGCATGAAGGGCTGTTGAATTTTGTCAAAGGCCTTTTCTGCATCTATTGAGATAATCATGTGGTTTTTGTCTTTGGTTCTGCTTATATGCTGGATTACGTTTATTGATTTGTGTATGTTGAACCAGCCTGAGCATGTATTACTTTTGTAGTAACAACAAAAAATAGGCTGGCTGTGGTAGCTTACACCTGCAATCTCAGCACTTTGGAAGGCTGAGCCGGGCGGATCACTTGAGGTCAGGAGTTTTAGACCAGTCTGGTCAACATGGGGAAACCCCGTCTCTACTAAAAACACAAAAATGAGCTGGGCGTGGTGGCACACGCCTATAATCCCAGCTACTCGGGAGGCCGAGACACAAGAATTGCTTGAACTTGGGAGGTGGAGGTTGCAGTGAGCCAAGATTGTGTCACTGCATTCCAGCCTGGGTGACAGAGGGACATTCTGTCTCAAAAAATAATAAAAAATAAATAAAATAAAATAAAGGTCTCTGCTGCTACAAACAATAATTTAAAAATGACTAAATTACAATTTTGCACATTAGGTAATTAAAAACCTTCCTCAAACCCAACTCATTTAGAAAAATCTCCTTCTAAAAGCTTCCAGGAGGCAGAACTCACGAGAGACGGAAAATGAGCCACTTCAGTCCGCACTGAATCCACATCAAGGAGGTCTAGGATCACTGCTGCACTGTTATCTCTGGTAGATGGGAGGTCCCTGTGCTCCTGTCTGCTAACAGGCATAAGCTGGAATAAAATGTTCATTGTGTATGTTTCTATTTTTTTGTATTTCCCAGTTTCACTACCTCTTCAAAATTAACAACTAGTTCTAATTTGTGTTGGATAAGAGGACCTTGACTATAAAAAGTTTTCTTTACCCAAAGAGCTGACCTTCACTGCAACCTTGTGGTTAGTCAAATTCTCAGAAGAAGGCATGGCTGTGGAGTCCGCATTTCTCAGAGGTAACACATGCAGGCCCTGGCCAGCCCCACCACAGAAGCTCATCCTCAGCTTAAGCAGCACAGACACTTATCTCTCTGCCTCCTACAGTCAGAGGAGATACCTGCTGGCCCCATCACACAGTGGCCCTGTCACACAGCAAATCACAGGTAAGATTTCTGTCCCTGTAACCCAAGGCTCCCACACCATTCTAGCTGCTCAGAGAACAGAATGAGTAACAGATATGGAGAGGGGTACTTGTGATGTTGTTTTCACTCTTTGAATCTGGAAGGAAAGGGTGGGAGTCTTGGGGTCCACCTGCCAAGAGTTAAGTCCAGAAGCCAAAGGACATCAAAGTTGCCAACTCACTTAACTGGGTCACTCAACTCACCAGGAGAAACCCCCAATGCAGTGTGTTTCATTCATAAAGATGACTCCACCTGCCCTCTTGCCATCTGTAGGTCAGATACTTCAAATGCCATTCCCTGGCAGGGGTGGAGGGGCCACTCAGCCAGCCCCCTCCCTCATCCAGAAGCCCTTGTGAGCACTGAGAGGTACCCATGAGCAGCCAGTTCACCTGGAGAAGTAGTGTGAGGGTGGCTGGCAAGGACAGGCTCACCTGATATGATCCCCAACAGCACACTGCTTTAGCATCAAAGACAGCCTCCTCTACTCACTAAAGTCAGTATGCAAGGTTTTTAACTGAGTTCCCATAAGGAGATCTGAGAAAGTCCCATCACATAAGGTATTATCAACATCAGCAATACTGATGGCCCCGGGCACTTAAGCTAAATCCTCATTCCTCACTCAACCCTAGGAGGTGAATAGAATCATCCTAGTTTTCAGATGACAAAACTGATGCTCAGAGCAGTTAAGGAACTTGCTGAAGTCCAACAGGCAGCAAGCACTAGGGTCAGGACCAGAACCCAGGCCACTGCTGACCCTCACCCACCACTGAACAGTGAGGCACCCGCATCAGGACTGATGGAGCCTGGTCCCTTGATACAAAACGCAAAGCTTGTCAAACTTGGGCCTTCATGTGCAACCCAGACAGCGTTATCGAAAAACAAGAATGGCTTCTAACAGAGAATTAGCTTAGAACACTTAAAGCTACAGTTGGCCCTTAAAGAACATCAGTTCGAACTGCATGGGTCCACTTATATGTGGATTTTCTCCCATCTCTGCCACCCAACACGGCAAGAACAACCCTGCATCCTCCCCTCCTCAGCTTTCAATTTGAAGAGCAGGAGGATGAAAACCATCACGAACACAAGTTTTCATGATAATCCACTTCCATTTAATGGAAGCAAATATATTTTCTCTTCCTTATGACTTTTCTTAGTAACATTTTCTTTTCTCTAGCTTACTTTATTGTAAGAATACTGTATATAATACATATAACATAGAAATATGTGTTAATTGGCTGTTTATGTTTTTGGGTCAGGCTTCTGGTCAACACTAGGCTATTAGCAGTTAAGTTTTTGGGGAGTCAGAAGTTACATGCGGATTTTCGACTGTGTGGGATGTTCACTGCCCTAACCCCCACACTGTTCAAGGATCAACTGTGGGTGGAAAAACAATTCAAGAATGTTATTCTACACTGAAGGTGGCTAGTGTCTACATTTGTAATATATACACAGTCCAAAATTTCAAGGCTTGTGATAAAAAGTCAACAAGTCTTGATGCAAGTTAAAATTGAGAATGGTCATTGAAGTTCACTGGCCCAGGCCACATTGGCTGAGTCCATAACAGGTCTCCTCTGACCCACCCTGCCTGTGGCTGCTTGTGCCATCACCCTTTAACACAGATCATGCTTTTGGGCAACCCAGTGCCTGCCTCTGCCAGACCGGCCTGAAGCTGGGAGAGGGAAGGAAGAAAGCCCATGTTTCCCAAGAGTGTGCAACATCCCTCCACCTTCACACGCCGCAGCCGCCTGCCACTGGCTGCTGCTCCAGGCTCTGTGCTCTTGGGTTGTCACAGCCAAGTGGTACGATGTTAAGAAGGTCAGTTCGCAGGTGGCAAGAGTTCCCTTTCTCACGCCATGGGCTAGAACAAACTCCCTGGACAAACCAATGAGCATACATAAATGTGTGCCATGGCAGGGGGCACAGAAACAGCAGCAAGAGTAGGTATTGGAGGGGAAAGGGCAGAGGCCTAGGACAGAGGAATTCTGGGTTCTAGCCCCGGCTCAGCCTCTGACCTGCTGGAAAGTCTCAGGCGAGCCATTCAATCCCTCCAGTTCCACCTGTACATGAAGTCTTGGATGAAGCTATCTGTATTTTCCCAATTCTAATGACTGATGACATGGTGTGAACTGTCCTACCTCTCCAGGGCTGTGGGATGTGGCGGCCAGTCAGCAAAGGTGGGCCTCAGTGAGCTAACACTCACTCAGCACCCACCCTGCACCCGGCAGTGTCAAGCACTGTATCTCACTTAATTCTCACAACCCATTAAGACAGGTGGCTCATGCCTGTAATCCCAGCACTTTGGGAGGCTGAGGCCGGTGGATCATGAGGTCAGGAGATCGAGACCATCCTGGCTAACACGGTGAAATCACGTCTCTACCAAAAATACAAAAAATTAGCCAGCATGGTGGCGGGCACCTGTAGTCTCTCGGGAGGCTGAGGCAGGAGAATGGTGTGAACCTGGGAGGCAGAGCTTGCAGTGAGCCGAGATCGCACCACTGCACTCCAGCCTGGACAACAGAGCAAGACTCCGTCTCAAAAAAATGAATAAATAAAAAACAAAAAAACAAAAAACAGGTAATCACCTCGCCTATCTTGAGAACAAGAAACAATCTCAGACAGATAAAGTTAGACAGCACTGGAAAAACTACCATAATGTGGTCTGGTGGTCATGAGAGGCAAGGGCCCAAATTTAGGCAGTTTGATGCGAGATGCCATGCATGTGACCAACAGGCTGTACCATCTCTGCTCCCTGGCCTACGAACCCTATGGTTCAGGCTGTACCACCTCTGCTCCCTGCTCTAGGAACCCTGTGGTCCAGGCTATACCACCTCACTCCCTGCTCTAGGAACCCTGTGGTCCAGGCTATACCACCTCACTCCCTGGTCTAGGAACCCTGTGGTCCTGGCTGTACCACCTCTGCTCCCTGGTCTAGGAACTCTATGGTCCTGGATGTATTACTTCTGTTTCCTTATGTAGAAATCCTACATTCCTGGCTATACTATCTCTGTTCCCTGGTCCCTTTGGATGACAAAGACTTGTCTCCCTGATTGTCTCGTGAGCCTACCTAAATGCATTTTTGTTCTGATAGCATTGAACAGAAACATCTCCACTGGTTTTCTAAGGGCACACACTTACAACCAAGAGAAGCCGGCTGGTCATGAAGCTACATAAAGAAGTCAAGGACAAGCCCAAGTTCAGAGGACCAGCTCCCCAGGGTTCCAGAAGCCATACATATCTAACCTTCTCAACAGATAAGAGCCGATCGGACACTGCCTTCAGGAGTGGGTGGGACTACCACTAGCATGGCAGACGAGCAGTCGACCCCAAGGCTCCCACAGCAGTGCAAGTGCAGGGAGGCTGCGATAGCATCCATTGGCTTGGTGAGGGTGCTACACCTTTACTCAAGCAAAAAAACTCTCTTCTGGGAACGCTGGGTTTTACCTTAGAATTTTATTGATGGAAGCGAATTAATAAGCATGCTTGGCAGAACAATTAAAGGAAGATCAGCTCTTCTCATGACACCAGAATTATTAAATTACACGTAAGACCTTTGCCCTAGCTCCTCAGCCCAGTGAAGTTGGCACCCAGAGTCTTCTCTTTTCAAACCATACAAGTTGTGTAACTAGGCAGAATCTGAGAAGAGAAACAACAGAGCTCATGTCCTCAGTACTCAGGACTAGGAGTCAGGTGGCCAGAGACAGGGCAGCAGACAGCAGCCAAGGTAGCCTTCATTTTACAACAATGACTCGACCGTCAGGAGGCTTGGGACCTTAAGAAATCGTCACCTGCTTTGAGCTAAAATATCTGTAGCCCTCCCTGGCCAGCAGTGGGAATCTCTTCCAGAGTGGTCTGATGGATACTTCAGGAGCCTTGAGGTTCTTCTCACAGCTACTGATGCCTCTCCTCCACTTAGGAAGAACAGGAGGACCAGGACGGAAGAACAAGTGATACACGAGAAGCATGTACACCAGTACAGGAGGATATACAATGTAAATAGACCAAGACTCTGAGAACTGGGAACACAGGCTGCGTGAAGAAAGGGAGAGTCTCAGCCAGATTAGGATTCCTCAACTCCCAGTGCTCACTGTGTTCATCTCGCTACTTGGATCTCTCAAATTTTCCTTCCACAGAGGAGCTGGAAAAACCACCATCACATAGCATGGAAGTCATAAAAGGCACCATGAAATTAAGTTTTTCTGCCCCTCTTGTCCTCTCATGCAGAGTGCATGGTAAGCACCCCAAGGCCTGAGGCTCGCAGAGAGCTTGCTTAAAGAACACATGGCAAAGGAGCTCTGCCTCCTAGCCAGCCTCCTTCCCTGAGGGCTCTGAACCCTAGCTACATGAAGTGAGGGGAAGCCACCTGAGCCTCTGGAATTCTGGAGAGGGGCTTGCTGGGTGATGTTTCTGGGGTCGTATCACTTCAGTGTCTTCTTGATTCCTGCCTTCCTAAAATTCTAGAAAGAACATAAATCAACCCCAGAGAATCAGCATGCTCTGGCCCTGCTATTTCTCATTTGAAACAGGCCTGCCTATGCCAGCTCCCACTCAGAAAGGCCAAGCACAATCCATGAGATCCTAGAATAAAAGGAGGCTTAGGGCCCAGGTGGGGCCCTCCAACCTGTCCTCAGACTCTCCAACCAGGCAACGATGTGCGTCAACCAGGCGAGAGTCCCAATCAGCGCGCATCCTTCTGACGTGCTCTTCACCAAGCCACCTGCAGGAGACTTATCTTCACACACCTGATGCTATGCAAGAGGGGCCAGATGTGGGTGGGCAAGCACAGAACCAGAGAAAGCAGAGTTAAAACACTGTCAAGAGTGGACCAAACAACAAATATGTACAATTATTACGTATCGTTATAAGTAAAAAGAAAAAAAAGACCAAACCATTTGTTATAAGAACCAGGAGAGTGGTGACTGCGTCTCAGCACATTCCAGGGACAGAGGAAGAGCAGGTGGCTGGGGAAAAACCCAGTGGGAGTGCTCAGGGCAGAGAACGAAGACTCAGCCAAGCTCCATTTGCACTTCCTTTCCCGTAGCATTGGACACAGAGCTCCTGGGGCTGCTGGTACCTTTGAAAGGGCTCGGAGGAAAAGGAAGATACATCAACTGCCTCCTTACGAAGAAGGTACTGAAACGAAGTCACACAACTGAGAAGACCGAAAATGTGTAGAAAGTCACCATGCATGGAATGAGCTGGTTATTTCAATATTAGCTTCTGTTTGACTCCCACATGCAACTCAAAGGCTCATTATATAACAAAAATACTCTGAAATTCATCTTTGTTCACCAATCCATTGTGGACTACAGAAACTCAGATTTCCTACCAGTTAAAATGTAAGCAGTGAAGCCGGGTGTGGTGGCTCACGCCTGTAACCCCAGCACTTTGAGAGGCCACGGCAGGTGGATCACTTGAGGTCAGGAGTTTGAGACCAGCCTGACCAACATGGTGAAATCCTGTCTCTACTAAAAATACAAAATTAGCCAGATGTGGTGGCGCATGCCTGTAATCCCAGCTACTCGGGAGGCTGAGGCAGGAGAATCGCTTGAACCCGGGAGGCGGAGATTGCAGTGAGCCAAAGGTTGCAGTGAGCCGAGATAGCGCCATTGTACTCCAGCCTTGGCAAGAAGAGCGAAACTCTGTCTCAACTGGGAAAAAAAAAAAAAAGTAAACAGTGAGAATCAGGTAGGCTTGCTAAGGGTAACGCACATATGCAATTAAAAATAATAGGAAATGTGAAAAAAAAAAAGAATATGACAAACCAACTCTCTGAAATCCTTAACACTGAAAAAGTAGCTAACTCCTACTCTGGATGAGAGGTTTGCTGGTATCTCTGAGCCTGTTTAAACTGCCTTCAATAACTGAGGAGGAACAGCAATGCTACAACCCACTCTGGGATTCTGACAGCCCTGCTCACCAAGATGAAATCCAATTGATAAGCCCAATAGGTAAATATACCTGAATCAGCCTTTGCCCACTTAGCATACAAGCCTAGAATAGTTAGTTACTTGTTCAACTGGTCTGCCTTCCTAAGCAGGATGTGGACTCTTAGAGAACAGGAATCAAGTCTCCTAACTTCTCTCACAGCTTTGCTATGTTAGTTTGGTACCACTGTGTCACACATTACTATAAAACTTAATGGCCTAAAGAAGTAAACATTTACTATTGGCTGCATAGTTCTGGATCATGTTCTCTTGTAAGGCTGCAGCCAATCTGTCAGCCAGGGCTGCATCACCGGAAGCCTTGACTGGGGCTGGAGGATGCACTTCTCAGAAGGCTCGCATGGGGCTGGGGGCTAGGGGTCCTTAGCTCCTCACCACGTGGGTCTCTTCGCAGGACTGCCTGAATGTCCTTGAGACATGGTCACTGGCTTTCCCCAGAGCAAGGGACCCCACAGGGAGCAAGCAAGTAAGCACCTTCAAGACAGAAGCTGCAGTCTTCGTAGTCACCTGATCTCGGAAGCCATGTGGCTTCACTTCTAGCACATTCTACTGGTCTCATAAACTAACCTTGACACAGTGTGGAAAGGGACTATACAAGGGTGTGAATATCGTGAGTGGGGATGGCTGGGGTTCATCATGGAGGCGACCTGCCACATTTGTCATTCTAAGTTCTCAGGATGTTTTTACTGGATGTGGCATGGATGCATCTTTCAAGGGGGAACTTGAAGCTGCTGCTTTGCTTTCAAATTCAGTCTTGGCTGACACGCTCATGCTCTCTGCTGACCTACTTGGCTAACAGCTCTTCAAGGTAGGAAAAAAGAACAAGGCACTAGAAGTAGTCACCACAGTGTTTCTGTCCACCCCTAAAGGAGATTTCCTTTCCCCGATTCTACTTCAACAACCAAAAAAGATACCTGAAGCTAAATTCGGTTTCTCATTCCCCCAAACACGGGGTATCCTATCAGTGCAATGAAGAGTCTGCTAACAAGGGCAGTTTGGACAAAAATGACGCCACAGAGGGGTATGAAGAAGGGCTTAGGACCTGGCACTTAGAGTCGGCCACAGCAGTGCAGGGGAGGATGGAGAAAGGCATCATAAATAGGAGACGCCGAGACCATTTGATTTCCCAGCACCACTTCTAGGAGCCTAAAACCACATCTCTGCACTGTTTCTCCTTATTGCGGTGGCAAGTAGTTTTTAACTAAAGAAAGCAACTCAGTTTCTTCCAAACATCTGTAACTTGTTACTATCACAATTAACTCTTGAGATGGTAACTAAAGATGTCAAAACTTTCAAAGGGGCCAAGGAGCTGAGCTGGAATGGTCATTACCAGGTTTGGAGTCACCTACTTTGGCTGAGGAAGGATCAAAGTGCTTTCATCCAGTTTTTAAATCTGCCTTCATTCATAAAAGGTATTTCTCACCCGGCTATAGAATCCTAGATTGACAGGCTTTTCCTTTCAGCACTTTAAAGATGTTGTTCCATTGTCTTCAGGCTTGAATAGCTTGACAAAAAGTCCAAATTAGTTCTTATGTTTATTTCTCTGTATATAATGTCTTCTTTTCCTCTGATTGCTTTTACAGTTTTCTTTTTTATCATCTGTTTTTCAACAGTTTGATTATGATATGGCTTAGTGTGATTTTCTTTGCATTTATCTTGCCTGGGGTTCATCAACCTTCTTAGATCTATGAGTTTATAATTTTCATCAACTTTGGAAAATGTTCAGTCATTATTTCTTCTAATATTTTTCTGCCTTTTCCTCCTCTGTCTCTTTAGGAAATCCAATCACACGTTAGATGTTTGATATTTTCCCATGGGTCACTAAGGCTCTGTTCCTTTTTTTTTAGACTTTCTTCTCTCTGTGCTTTAATTTATAAAGCTCTGTTGCTATGTTTTCACGTATGCTATTCTTTCATAGTCTAATTTTCTGTTTATAAGTCCATGAATTTTTCAGAAATCGTATTTTCAGTTCTACAAGTTCCATTTGCTTTGCTTTTCTATTTTCCATTGTGCTTATTATGACCCAATTTTTCTTTAAAACTTTAGCATATTTATAACTGTTTTTCAGTCCTTTCTTGGTGATTCTAAAATCTCTGTAATTTCTCGGTCTATTTGTATTAACTGATTTTTCTCCTGATTATTGGTCATATCCTCCTTCTTTAACCTGTCTAGAAATTGTTGCTTGGGGCTATCCATCATGATTGTTAGTTACACTGTTAAGTGTTTACATTTTGTCTGCCTTTAGTGAGCACTGAAGTTTAGTTTGGGCAAGCAGTGAACTCTGCAGAGCAGCTTGGTCATTTCAAAGCTTTTTTTCCCTTTCTCTTCTACAACAATTCTGAGGTAAAATTTTACATAACAAAAATGCACTTATATTATGCATACAGTTCGGTGAGTTTTGAGAAATGTGTACACTGATGTCACCCTACTACAATCAAGATACAGTATTTTCCATTACCCGAAAAGTTCTTGTTTTCTTTTTTTGGGACGGAGTCTCACTCTGTCACCCAGGCTGGAGGGCAGTGGTGAAATCTCGGGTCACTGCAAGCTCCGCCTCCCGGGTTCAAGCCATTCTGCTGCCTCAGCCTCGTGAGTAGCTGGAACTATAGGCACCCACCACCATGCTCGGCTAATTTTTATATTTTTAGTAGGGACAGGGTTTCACCATGTTGGCCAGGCTGGTCTCGAACTTCTGACCTCACGTGATCCACCTGCCTAGGCCTCCCAAAGTGCTGGGATTATAGGCGTGACCCACCACGCCCAGCCACCAAAAAGTTATTTTGAGTCCCTTTGCAGTCAGTCCCATTCCTACTACTCTAAGGCAACCACTAATCTGCTTTCTGTCACTACAGATTAGAATTCCCTTTTCTAGAATTTCATATAAATGGAGTCATTCAGTGTGCATTCCTTTTATCTGGCTTCTTTTGCTCAGCATACTCAACCATGAGATTCAATCGTGTGGTTGCATGTATCAATAGTTTGTTCCTTTTAGCTGCGGACATTTATTCCACTATGTGGACATACTACAATTGGTTTATCCATTCATGTGTTGTTGAACATTTGAACTGTTCCTAGTTTGGGGCAATTACAAAGGAAGGTGCTATAAATATTCATGCACACGTCCTTCTATGGCCATGTGTTTTCTCTTGGGTAAATCTTGAGGGGTGAAACTGCTGAGTTGTATGGTACATTTCATTTTCTTTACAAGAAACTTTCAAACAATTTTCCAAAGTCGTTGTACCATTTTGCGTTTTTACCAGAAATGCATAGGAGTTCCAGAGTTCATATACTTTTCTAATCTTGGTATTGTTCATCAATTTTAATTTTAGTCATTCTTGTCTTGTGGGTATATATTGGTGTCTCATTGCTATTTTAATTTGCATTTTTCTGATGAGTAATGATATTGAACATCTTTTCATGTGCTTATTGGCCATTTGTATATCTTTTCTGGAGAAATGTCTTCAGATCCTTTGCCAATTCTTAAATTGCACTTTTTTTCCTGAGTTCTAAGAATTCTTACATATTCTGGTTATAAGCACCTGGTCAGAGAGTCATATTTGCAAGTATTTTCTCCCAGTCTGTGACCTACTTCTAGTCAATTTTTGCATATGGCTTCAAGGCTTGTTTTTCAACTTTGTACTCTTTTCTCTAGAGCTAGATGAAAGCTAATATTAAGGCATGGTGACTCTTTTGAGGGGTCTATGGATGTCCCAGGTGTTCAACAACGTCTCTCTGCTCTATCTGGAAAGAGCTCAAATGTCTCTCCGTTCTGGAAGTAGTTCCACTTACAGTTCTCCAGCAGTGGTTCTTCAAATCGCTTCTTGAGTTTTGCCCTACACAACAGATCTGTTCATAAAAAGTCTCGAGGAGACCCCCAAGCTAAGGTGAAGAGTTTTCCTTCTGCATAGCTTTTTCTTTGTACTGTCCCCTGCAAATTCCAACTGCATTGGCCTCAGATGTGTCTTCTCAATGCAGCTAGACTGCTGGGCTTCGCATGGGTTCCTCCTCGCTGCTTTGAGATCTGGAAACTGCCTCCAGCAGAATGTTGGCAGGAAGACCATAGGGCTCACCTCATTATTTCTTTTCCCTTAGGCTCACTGTCTTGATGCCTGCTGTCCGATATTTGCAAAGTTGTTTCATATATTTTGGCCTGTTTTCTGTTTGCTTACAGAAGACGGGCAAGTTCTGCATCTGTTACTCCTTCATGGGCAAAAGTCTCCTCATCCTTCAGCACAGGCTCAAATGTTAAATTTATCCACATAGGAAAGATTCCTCTGGCTTCCAGGACAAGGCCCATGGACTCCAATCTCAAAATGAAAAGCCTCTGGCTTCTTCCGAGTCTGTCTATCATGCCTAGAAAAAAGACTTCAGTGAGGCTCTCAGTCAAAAAACCAAGCAGGTCAGGGACAGTGGGGACCAAATGGTGTTTAAGACCTCCACATGCAGAGGACAGGAACGTGCAGAGGTCAGAGAAGCAGCACTGTGTGTCAAGCAGCACACGTG